CCCCCCCCCCCCCCCCACTCATCTTTTGATACATTATCCATCTCACATTCTCACCCCTAAATTAATACGAACCCACCTTTGAGGGGTAGTGAGATAGGAGGGAGCATATGCACATATGTAGGGGGGACTGGGTGAGTATTGGGGTGGGGTAGATGATTTCTCAAAATATGAGTATGGGGATAAAGAATTGGGACGAGGAAAGGAACAGAGGATTCCAACCCATATATTGAACATAAGTTATGATAATAGAATATTTAGTTATAATATAAATTTGATATAATTAAATTCACTTATGATTTAATTTTGATATATCACATTTTTTTTACATTTAAAACCATACTACTCCGTAGTATTTATTTACGACCGTATAGTAGTAAGACCAATTAGAAAAAAAGAACAAATTGGAAAGAGATTTAAGACAAAAAGAGTATTTGGTATTTTGGTACAACTACAAAGGAACACAAAGTACTATACTCGGTATAAAGCAAAGGAATATACAAATAAGTGAAACTATGTAATGGCGCGTACTATACTTGGTAAAAGGAACTGCCAATTCTCCCACATTTATAAATTAAAAACTGAGGAAGTGGCTCAACTAGCAAGGTAATGGGTTATAAAGTATCACCCTTTGCTAGTTAGTCTGTGATTAAAGCTCAATTTACCTTCTCTTGTGTAACCGTCTGGCTGGTTCTAAGGTGGCCCTCGAGGATGAAGTTCATCTTATATTCTTTTAAAGAAAATAACTAGATTGTGATGTGTGTATATGGTATTCTTTATTTATCCATTGACCAATGTGGTGACATTATGAGTGAGGTTAAGCCTAAGTATGAACTCAGAAGAAATGAAACCACAGTAGAGATGATCCCCGATCTTGATTCCGGTTGTGATGAGTAAGGAATGGCGGTCGTAGTAATGAGCCACCGGGTTACCTTCAAAGTCCACCGCGATAACGCCTCCATTCCTTTCCATATTCGGCCGCACTTTGTACTTCTCCATCACTCCCAAAACCTTCCTCACCAATGGGATCTTTTGCATGATCTCCGATCCCAAGTTGTATTCCTATGCAATACAATGTCACAGTACACAATAAACACAAAAGCCTATGTTTTTTTCAAGAATAAATAATGTATGTATCTTATTATGACCAATGTTACATTTGATTGTGGATTTGTTTTAAAATAATATGTGTTAACTTATTTACCGTGACAAGTCCAATCCAGAAGATGCCCTCCTCCCCATCATAATGAATGTTGTCTGGCATTCCTGGCAAATTCTCTATAAAAACATCAATGGATCCATTCCTTTCACCCTTTATGAACAACCTCTTACACCTCCTCCTACAACCCAATCCAAAAGTCTAGATTAGTCCCACATTTGATCACTACGGATGATGCAGGAATACATACTAATGTAAAAATTGATACAAACCAAACTAGAGTAATTTCACTGAACACAACGAGAAGTGATAGATATATTATAAACTTACAGTGGGGTTTCACAGAAAATGACAAAATCCTGGTCAGGAGAGACAACAACACCGTTTGGGAAGAACAAGTCTTTGACAAGCACTTTGGTCTGTTTCGTGTTTGGGTCATAACTTAGTAATCTGCCGTAGGGTCTTCCTTCAAGAAAATCCCAAATGAAGTCCTTGACACTGTATTTCCAAGACGCGTCCGTGAAATAGAGGACACCGTCCTCTGCAACTGCAACCGCGTCCGTCAATTTGAACTTTACCCCCTCCGCCTCATCCGCCAGCAACTCCACCCGGCCATCCGCCGTCACATTCAATAATCCCTGTTAATTAAGAACCATATTACTCATCGATTATGTGTTTGTTTGATAATGGTCTCGTTTGACAATAACATTAATATAATAATATAATTTACATCATTAAAATAATTCTGGACTAGCGGTTAATTTTGAATGTTTGTATACTCACAATATCCGCATCAGCTACCAAAACTTCACCGTGAAGTCCAAGGGCGAGTCCAAGCGGCCTGCCGCCGGTGTTGACCCAGTCCTCCACAACCGAGTCCGCCGCCGAGGACTCGTTCACCGTCACTCGCTTGACCCACCCATCCACACACCCGGTGTATATGATCCCCGTCTTGGGGTCGTAGGCTATGTCTTCCGGGCCCCACAACCGTCCCACTCCTATCCTCTCCGATCCTTCCAGCATCCGGCCGTTTCGGCTTGGGGCCGCCGCCGCCGCCGGCTTCCTCTGACTCAGCTCCCCAGCCGGGTACGGAGCCGGGTCGAACGAGTCGAGCTGGAAAATGATGACCCCTAAAATCGCTGGGACGAGAAAAGCAGCAAACGGCCATAGACGATGGGGATTCATGGTTTGGAGAAATGATCTTTGATTCTTGATTTTTATTTATCATCTAAATTATTTATTCCACCGTCACATGTTAACTTTCTTAGGGTATTTAGGGTATGTTTGGTTGGAGGTAGGTAAAATTTTTATTAGGTAGGTAATGGTAGGTAATTGAAGGTAGGTAAAGTAAGGTAATGTGTAAAAAAATTGTGTTTGGATGTTTATTAGGTAACGTGAAGTAGGGAAAAATAAAATTACTAAAATATCCTTGAGGTTGTTTTTCTTTATTTGTTTAGGATTTTTTATATGAAATTAAAATTTATTTAAATTTTAAATGTAAAATTTTAAAACTAAATAAACACTCCAGTAGAGAAAGAGTGAAAGGAAAACTGAAAATTGAAGTGCAAAGGTGAAAATGGCAAAAAATTGAAGTGCAAAAGTGCAAAAGCATAGTAGAACAAAAATCAAAGTGCAAAAGTGCAAAGTAGAACGAAAAAAGTGAGAAAAAAAATCTGGAAATTGAAAAAAAAAGTAAAAATTGAAGTGCAAAAGTGAAAATTACAGCGATGGGGAAGATTATGCAGTGACAATTGCAGCGAAGGAAAACATGAAGATTATGCAGTGAAAATTGCAGGAAAGGGAAAAATTACAGTGAAAATTGAAAAGTGAAGTGCAAAAAATTGAAAATTGCAGCAAAGAGGTTAGGGTTATTGGAATGGAATTGAAGAGCAGAGCAGATCGAGAAAAAAAAAGTGCAAATTGAACTATGGCGATCGAAATACCTGTGGAATGGCGATGGGAAGTGGGAACCGTAGGAAGATGGCGATGTGAAGATGGCGGCTGGCTTTCCTGCGATCGGGCGAAGGGTAACGTTACCGTGATAATTCGCCAAAATGGCGGTCATGTAAAATGCACTGTTTAGAGGTAGCCTTACCTCCCTTTACCTCTCCCTACCTCATTTGACCTATCTCATTTTTTGTTCCCAAACAAGGTAAAATATTAAGTTTATCTCTCCCTACCTTCCCCTACCTCCAAACAAACATAGTGTTAATTTGCCTCGTAGTTCGGTGAAAGTAGTGCATAAAGACAAGAGCGCAGTCCCTGAAATTCGGCCACTCATGTAGCATGCAATGATGTTGTAGCTAGACAACCGACTCATATAAAACGGGACTTTAGATATGGATGTAAATAAATAACCGAAAATTCGATAACCGTCCGTATTCGTATCTGTTTATATGGAAAATATATGCATCCGTTAAAAGAGGTTATTATCTAAATTTGATTAAGGATATCAGATTGGTAAACAGATACGGATTTAGTAATCATACATCTGATCTATTTTGCTTCGTATTGATATTCATTTAAGTACAGTTTATCTGTATATCCGATCGTTACATATAATTTTTCTTAATTTTTATTTTGTTTATCTGTTGATATCGCAAAGTACAATACATTTTTACATGCAAAATATATGTGTAGAGACATAAAAATATGTGTGTATATGTACTCTGTATTTCTTTTTATCATATTAAGTTATCGTAGAATATTATAAATTATAAAAAATAAAAAAATAATTATCCTCTATCAAATTATAGTTAATTTAATAATATTTTTACTTTAATTTAATTGAAAATTAAAGTATTATTTAATTTGATTTTAAAAATTGGAAACGAATACGGATATATCCGACCGATATCCAACGGATGGAGATACGGTTTTGATTTTTAATATCTGTCAAGATCCGTATACGAATTCAATATCCGATAAAAATAAATGAGAAACAATTTTGTGTTAATTTTCTAAAAATACCTTTGATGTGATGTGCAAAAATAAGATATGATGTGTAGATTATTAGAAAAAAAATATGATGTGATAAGTAGGGTATGAAAAAGTAAGGGGTAAAAGTTGTTTTTAATAGAATTGGAAAGGATTTTCGGAAATACGATTTTTTTGAAACGTGAAGGACTCTTTTAGACATAGGATGAAGTATTAAATAAGTGGATAGAATTTTATTTTCAAAGGCTACTTTCCTTCAAACAAATTAAAGTTGCGTGTGAAAAAATTGTTTTTTCTTTAAGTTAAAGAATGACCATGACTTTGGACTTTGAGCGTCACTCTTTTTGGTGATTTTTAAAATGGTATTCAATAAGGAGGTAATTTTTCAAATTAATTTTTAAGATGATTTATTATGGAGATGATACTTGCCAATTGAGAATAATGCACATTTTAATCTCCTGACTAAATATACAACATGTGTTTTCCGTACATCCACGACAAGTATTTTTTACGAGTAACTGAATTTTATTTTGAAGGCATTGGATACTCATTTTCGAGTAATTGAATACTCATCTTTCCGAAATTCAACTATACTCGAAAAAAGTATTCAAGTATTCAAAAATGAGTATTCATGAGATGTGTATGAAATGCCGACATCCTTATGTATGGTAGAAGTATCCCGACGAACGACCGTCAAAACGGTATCAAACTATTTTCTCAAATTAGTTCATTTTCAAAATAAAAATTCATTAAATATGGAAATATAATTTAAATTTTTAGGGTGATAATATAATAAATATAACTATTAATATAATTTTATAAATTTGAAAGTAAGCATTTCAAGTTGTTTACAATTAATTGGAATAATATCATACTACCTCCGTCCCACAAAACATTACCCATTCTGAATAGTATTTGGTCAAAACATTATACACTTCGATCACAAATTGTGAGAAAAGTATATTGAATTATAATATAAATTTAATATAATTGGATTAATCTTAGGATCTAGTTTTGATATATCAAATTTTTAAAAAATTTCTTTATTTAGATTATATTTAATTTATGGTAAAAGCGTGTAACTGTTTGACCAAAAATACATAAAAAATGGGTCAAATAACCATTTTTGACCAAAAATACCCATTAGTTCGTACACTTTAGAGGGACCAAAATGTGTAACTGTTTGACCAAAAATACATAAAAATAAAATACTCCATATTTTTTTCAAAAAAAAAAAGAATTTGTTCCTTGATAAATACTCCGTAGTACACTAGTACGGTAAATAGAACAAAATATTACTACCTCCGTCCTAGTGTATTTGTCCACTTTCATTTTTACACATCATCCAATACACTTTTTTAATCCATTTTATCTTGTAATTTGTATATTAAAAAATTATGGAAATTATATATTAATAATCTATATGTTAAGACAAATCAAACAAGATCACACATGACTATATTTAGGCTTACACATTGAGAGAATTTGATGAGTCAAAGTGCTTAGATGAACAATTCCAAAAGTCAAAACTGGACATACTCCGGGACGGAGGAAGTATTTATTATAAATAGGACTAAAACCACCAAAATGTCAAAAATTATATATCAATGGGTTAAGAAAAGTATATATGAACAAATACCACATTATAATCGGTTCAATATCACTCGAAATAAACATTGAAAACTATACTAAAACCGTCGTCCCTAAACATCTTGCCCTTGAACAATGTCACGTCCAGTTCTCGATACACACATAATTGAACTAACAATTTCTAAGCATAGTATAAGAATATGATTTATTCCAAGGTAGACTATATACAATACAGAGTAATAACAATCAAATCAAATTATGCCTTTAACTTATAAGACTAGCATTGACTCACTAAATACTACTCCGTACCAGCTCTGTTCCGAAAAAGACTACTTATTTTCAATCACTTAATTTTATTTTTATTAAACTCCGTACAAAACCTAATTAGGAGTCTATTTAGTTGCATGAAATATTTCATAGCGGCTACGGTTGCTCATTATGGATGGCTACAATTTTTACCATACGACAACTACACCTTGACCATGGCTTAACACGTATGGGCATGTCACACCGAGATCGAGATCCCAACAGCTTCACTTACATTGTAGCTAGACAACCCATTGTCGCCCGTGTAAAGAGTAAGACTTACAGAAAATAATTGTCCGTGAAACAGATTAAGAGAAACATACAAGTAGTTTAAACACTTTGAAGTGCAAATATATACTTTTGACATAGATCTCCATGGAAATGTTTATTGTGCAAAGATCCCCCATTTTTTCACGAATATCTGCGACCAATTTTTAACATCTGAATATTTTCGACCAATTTATTTTTATTTAATGTACCTTGTCCTTGCGTGTATCTTGTAGGAACCACCACGGCCCATCTTTTGCCGATAACCTGACATTGATATAATACAATTTAAAATTGAGGGTGTTAAAAGTAAAATGTAGGTGTGCTTGGGGTACCCATGGTTGTCTGTGTGTGTCTGTGATACGTGTACAAGTTGGGGTATAATGCCTGGCGTACACCCGGCTTTTTCTATTAAAACTATAGTTCGGGTTTTTGAGAAAAGTTATTGCTTCCTGAGAAGTGAAAAGGTCATTATTTTTTTGCCTATATATTATGGCTACCAAAATTCTTACATTTGTGTTTTTAGTTAGTAGGGATGGCTATTTCATCTTTACCTGATGGATATCCGAAGCACCCGATCCAATTAAATGGACAAAAAATACAAAAAGACATGGATAATAGATGGATCGGATACAAATGGATATTTTTCTCACCCATGACCCGATCCATCTGTCCATCCATATATTTGTTTACATTTTTAACATTTATACTAACATACTATTCCGTGTATGTAAAGTAAATTAAGGGTTTTTCGTCCGTTGAGAGTGATAATTTAAAGAAATGTTATTAGCAATGCAAAAGTCATTGATTTCATCCGTTTTACATCCGTTCCACCTGAGGATAACAGATGATGTATGTCACGAATGAGAAATATAGTGTGAATGGATGGATGGATGAGAGTGAAGAAGGTTCACCGTTCGCCCGATCCAAAAAAATGACCCATTGTCATTCCTGTTAGTTGGTTAGTGGTTACCTATAAAATCCAGCGATAGTGCGCAAACCCATGAAAAGAGTCAGTCCGGACCAAACCGCAGGAAGACCGATGATCGAAGGCGCATAGAGCAGAAATGCTGATGACATAGCCCCAACTATCATCTACAAATAGAACAGCAATTTTCTTGTAAAGAATGTGTTTTGGCATGTACTGAAGCATGATGGTTTAGGCTTTGTTTGGCAGAAATCTTACCATGGAGGAAGCTGCATATGGGAAATCAGAAACACCATAGTGAAGACCATCAAAGATATAAGCAAGAGCATTGATTGGCTGACTGGCACTCACAAACTGAAATTTATACATGCATCATGCATGTATCATTTGTCATCATATAAATATATATTATTTTTTTTGCGTCATTTACCCTCAAGCTCTTCAAAAAGTGTGTGTAGTCCCCGTGAATTTTAAAAATTGCACCAATGGTCCCTACAGGTGTATTGATGAGCGTGTGATTAACGCACTACCAAATCTGACATAGAGGGACCATTGAGGTTTGAGGCAATGTTTTTAAAAGTTCAGGGACTATTGGTGCAATTTTTAAAGTTTAGGGGAAATCCGCGCAATTTTTGAAGAGTTCGGGGGTAAATGACTCAAAAAACTCTACAAAAATATCCCTAACAAAGATAATTGCAACAAAAACAAAGAGCATTATTTTTCAAGAAAAAAACTTCATATGTTTCGAAATATAAGTCATGTTTTTCAAATTGTAAATGCCAAAGATAGATATAATTTTAACACTCTTAAGGTTATATATTACACACCAGGAGTCCAGATCTTGCAATATCTATCACTTGGGCATCATTGGTGAACAGCTTTGCAAGAGAGGGGAAAGACAGCCCCAGTACCACGGCTAACAAAATCCCTGTACATAATCCTGTCTAAAACAACATGAAAAACCGTCGCATTTACACTGTGTTTGGTTTAAGGAAATGGAAACAGATGATGTTAACTCGGACACGGGAAAAGTGGAAAGAGATACCTTCAGAGCTACAAGTGTGATCACTCTGACTCTGTTAAGGTCCTGTTTGGCGAATGCACTTGCAATGAGAGCCTGCAAAATGGAGATATGCATGGGGAAAGTTTCATATTTTCTTCGCGTAGGATTTCCAGAAAAAAGGAATGTTCAACAAAAGAGATGCTTGTTGACCTGACCAGAAGCAGCTTGAGCGTCTGCGAGAAGAGAAGCAGACAACCAGACCTGCAAACATATCTGATGAGCAGCCATGGGAATTGCTCCGAGACGAGCTGCCATTGAAGTGCTCAAAGTCACTGTCAAAACAGCAGCCAGCGTTCTCCCAAGCAGGAAACCACCTAACAGACAATATTTATCCTTAAAAAGAGCGAACCGGGTTGCTTTCTATAGTTTCAAGAAATGAAGCCAACGACAAATTGCTACAGAAACTCACCAGATTTTAAGTAGCCACCAAATTGCAAATTCTTCATGTTTGGTAGCAATAAAGATGTCTTCTTACTAAGATGCCATAGCATTAAAATGGCTACAATATATCTGCATTTTTTAAAACACCAGACTTATAATATCTGATATGATTTAGAATATATATATATAAACCAAACTGTTCAGTAACTTACTGCGAAGCAACCGTTGAAATAGCTGCACCGGCTATGCCAAGTCGACAAATATACATAAAGATGGGAAAGAAAAATACAGCTGCAAGGTTTCCTGACCCTGCAACATTGTCCGAATCATATAAAGTAGCACCAAAAAAATGTTAACAAAGTAGGAAAATCACTCATGTTATGTGACATAACTATAGCACACTAGCCAAATATGAGCTCTAGTTGCAAGTTTTAAAGAGAAATTTCTACGAAAATGACAGACAAGGATACATAGAAGCTTGCCTAAACATAATACAGGGGTCCTTGTGTCCTTAAACCCCCGGAAAATGCCTTGGATGGCAAGATATAGTACAACTGGTGGAGCACCAAGTGCTCTAAGTTTAAGGAAATTCTCTGCTGGAATGTGCATCGGCGAAGTCTGCAAGCATCCATTGAGATTGAATTACAAGAACAGAAATTTTTTAAAAAAAAAACATTTTCTTCAACGGAAATTCTATTGCACAACCATAGGTATGAACATACAAGAATATGGTACATCCACCACTAGTCAACGAGCAATTCCTTTGACTAGTAAGTATATATATAAACTTACTGTTGGAATACCCATTAGGCTCACAAAAAGTCCAGAGCTAAGATACATTGCTGCAGCCTCCAATAAGCCAATTCCAGCAGATAACACTAAGGCAGTGGTGACTGAAGGAAGATGTTTCTTGTCAGCTGTTGCAGAAAAAAAAATTATTCTTTCTGTTCTTTCCATATTCTCCAAAATCAATATTAGCCATAGGATCAAAACGAATTGTATTAAATTACCTGTAGTAGACTTCGAGATGTCTTCAGCAACAAAAGAAGTTGCCACACTGAGAAGAGGAATGTTAAACACCTTTGATATGATGTTGAATATTGATATTGAAATCCCGGCAGAAGCCAGCTCCAATACACCTTTAAAAATGTTCGATTATTTGGTACTACTAACTTTAACAATTTATTGGAACTCATACCATATGAAGAATACTCCCGCCCATGAAAATCCCAAAAAAGTAGGGTCTTGGGAAGGGGTGTGTATGCAGACCTTACCCCTACTAGAAATTAGAAAGACTTTTTCCTATGCAAAACAAAGAAACAAGTGTAGTGTGAACAAAGGACAGACATAGACAAAAGAAGCATACAAACCAACTCTAAGAACTAGAAATAAAGCACACAAGGCATGAAAGTTACTCCCAAAGACTAATAAATCAAAAAGAAGAAAAAGAATGTTAAGGCCGACTTTTGTTGTAATATGTTTCCACCACATTACAGCATTTGAATGTGTCAAGAAACTAACTCAACCAAAAGCTCAAGCTTGTGGTTGTGGCCCAGGAAATGTTTCTTATATTCTAACAGAATGTTTGAACACCGTGAAATGATAGGGAAAGGAAGAAAAAAATACTCCCTCTGTCCGAAAATATTCTTCCCGTTTTCCTTTTTGGTCCGTCCGGAAATATTCTTCTCATTTCCTTTTTTAGTATACTTTTTAAGGCTAAATATCAATAATACCCTTCTATTTTATCACAAATCTACTTTTTTAGTACTTTTTTAATAATAAAAGGAGATTTAAAAGTTTATAGTATGTGCATTTTTGAAAATTTTGCATTTTTTTTAATATTCCTGAATAAGCGTGCCAAGTCAACACGGGAAGAACATTTTCGGACGGAGGGAGTATGAAAGAAAGATATGTATGTTCTTGTGTTTGGTTTTACCATGAAAATGAAAACAAAACATGATCATTGCTTGTAAAACTTTACATACATAAGAAATTAAACAAACATAAAAAATCAAGCGAAAATCTATAGAGATTGAACAAATGTTTTTTTTTCTTCCACATTTTCATTTCTTCCAAATTTACCCTATACTTTCTTCCCTATCGTCTTTTCCAGGCATTCTTTGAGTTCCAAAGAAACCCCAAAATTGGGTGCACAGAGCTTATAACGGACCGCGAAATGAAAATCACTAACCCATCCTTCCAATATAAGCAGTCTCCATAAGCTGTGCTAAAGGTTCAATAGCCTGCCCAGCAATAGCTGGTAAAGAAAGCACTATGAGCTCATTTTGGACACTCCGAGCTGACGGTACTTCTTCGACAGAGTTACCTGACAATGCACTAAGAATCATAAATCAGAACTCCTATTTTGACTTTACCAATTCAACGAAAAAAAGTCAAGCTTGTGATTGTGGGCCCAGAAAACGTAAAAAAGTTAAGGTCTGAATCTCACATAGATGCTTCATTTGATCCACTGGTGAGTCTCTCTCTGGTTGAAGCAAACTCACCCTCCAAACCAGAAGAGCTTAGTGCTCCAAATGTTTTTACACTTCCAAATCTCAATCCATTCCTAAGGTTGTTCACTCCATGTTGATGATAATGATAATCATTCCATTGCAGTGTCTTAACAGAAAATGCTTTCTTAACTTTTCTATTAGCAAATTGTTTTGCAGTAATTCCAGAAGATACCCCACTGGGTAGCTTAATGACTCCCATGGCTGTATCTGCAGGATACAACAACAAGAAACCCAGTATCTAGGGAAGGTTAGGGTTAAAGGGGGAAAATACCAATTAGTGTAAAAATATAAATTAACAAACATATAAAAACCAATTGTAGCATATAATTAACGACAATCAAAAAAAGAAGAAAACATTTGAATAAATGGAGTGATATGATTAATTGGAGAAGGAGAAAATACCAAGTACTCCAAGTATCAAAATTTCTCAAAAAATAAATGGAGCTCTAATCACTATTGCTGTGATCCTATGGAGTTTAGAGTGTAGAAACACAGTAGTACAATTGACACTGAGATTAGGCCCTGAATAAAGAGGAATTATTAGTTGGAAATGTGGGAGTGGGTTGGTAGGAGGGCGGGCAACACCGGACCCACATAATAAATAAAGGAATGATAGAGTTACAAACACTTCGATCACAATATATACAATCTTGTCATTTGTGCACCTCACCAAGTGAATAAAATGATGTTAAATAATTAAAAAGTAGACATTTAAATACACAAATAGTAAGATTGTGTAATTTGTGACCAAAGTATTTGTGACTATAATATTTCTCAAATAAATACCCCAGAGTGAGAAAAATATGGTGGGATACGGGTTAGAGTGGTTAAGTTTTTATATCATCATGCATCTTGTCATGTTTTTTTTTCAAAGAGTTCGGAAACGGTTCGGGCTATAATCTTATCTCTCTTTGTCCATTTATATTTGGGGTCGAGACAAAATAAGACGAGTTGGGGACTTGGGGTTGTTCTGATTTGTCATTGTCCAAAAGTTAGATATAAAAATATAAAATAAATGAAGGGGGAGACAACCACTTTGACTTGTAAAGTAAAGTAAAAATGTCCGCCAAGAGTCAAAATTATAAACTTCATAAAAATTATTAACCACAAATTGGGGTGTGCAAGAGTTGAAATGGTGCGATATTTTTAGGTACTCCAGTCCTATTTCATTTTTAAGAATATTTGAATATGGATATTTATTTGTATCTATCTTGCAGAAAATAAAAATTATGATACTTTTTTATGTTATATCATTGTATAAAAAATTAATAGATACTGAGAGTATATGCATACATACGGGACAATGCAACGAAAAAATATTTATGTAACATCCCAACTCGCATAATTCGAATGCATGGTGATGGACAATAAATCCACCAAATGATCCGATTCACGAAGCGGATTGTAAGAACAAAATTCAGAACGAGAATTCGAGAATTGGGTATGTATTATTAGCTTGATCTAGCTTGAATTTCCTCCTTTTGGGTCTCATCTATTTATACCTGAGCTACATGCACTTAAGGGTAACGCATAATCAATGGAGTCTATCCCGTTAAGGGCGCGATCCCCTTTTTCCGGCTCTGTAACGGCCAATTTGCTCCGTCTCCTTCTCCGTAACCGGCTCTACCAGCTATGTTTGGTCTAAAGTCAACCGGGCCTGGCTCCATGGGCCGGCCCAGACCTGGGTATTTTCCGAGTGTCTGACCCGAAGTGGTGTAAATGGTTCAGTTGGGCCGCCCACTGGGTTTCGGCCCATCATAAGCCCCCCAACTCCTCATGCTTCAGCTGGGCCAAGTGGAAGAATGGGGAGTTTGCAAAGTCCACGTGGGCACTCCAGCGGGAATCCGGGCCGTTCCTTGGGTTCCGCGTGACGTGTGGGCACGATCTCCACAAAATAGGTAATCATGGCCCGCCGATTCGCCTCCCTGCTGTCAGTTAAAAAACCGCCGCTAGACGCCATCTTTTCCCTTCGCCTTCTTCACCATTATCCGTCTGCAATTCCGCTGCTTCCCAGCCCGTTCTTCTTTCTTTCCAGGTCAGTTCCTTTTCTCGCTACCATGATTGTTTCAGATTCTGATTCGGCTACCCCATCGTCCAATTCTCGCCAAGCCGATCAATCGGCCTCTGGCTGTAACCCCGGCCGCACTCCATCACCCCAGCCGTCACCGTCGGCCGTTCCTGGCCACAAACGGCGCCGATTGAGGAAGCAATTCCCTTCCTCAACTCCGGTGGATGAGGGGTCGAGGGTTGGATTGGACGAGAACATCATGGCGCTGTGCCATTGTCAAATCACCGACCGGGGGTTCGCCGATGCTACTGACATGGTTGGCCCCTCCATTGAGGTCATGAGACCTACCAGTACTCAAACTGCTCTAGACGCACCCTCGGGGTTCTTCACGGTCCATCTGGCGTCTTTGAAGAAGGGGCTGCGCTTTCCACTCCACCCGTTGTTGGTCGAATACCTCAACGAGGTGGACCTTCTTCCGTGCCAACTGGTCCCCAATTCTCACCGGTACATCGCCGGTTACTTGGTCCGATGCAAGGCTGTGGGGGTGAAACCGACCTTGGACCATTTCATATTCACCTTCAAACTGACCAAGGGCCATAAGGATTGGGCGTCCTATGCCAGCCTTTCCCAGAGATCCAGTAAACTCTTTGCGAGTGACAAGAAGGGCTCAACCAAAGACTGGAAGCCTTTCTTTGTCTTCGTTTCGACGGGGCCCGAATCTCCTTTCACGGGTTCAGGGCGCCCTTCCTTCCGCCGCATCCCATGCCCTCCACCTGATGCCACCCTCCTGTCCATCACTCGCCAACTCTGCAATAAGGGAGTTATGAACATCAAGGAGGTGGTGACAGAGGAAACCCTTGCCGGGTTGGGGTTTGAGTTTGTTCA